TGATATTTTGACCACCACTGTGGTCATTGACGTGTCCTGTGAAATTTTAAAGAGGAAATATATTCGTGAGCCTTTACCTAACTCTCGCAGCTCTCAGTGCTGCTGAGCTGAGGAAAAACGCTGTAAGAACACTCGAGAGTTGCCAAATTTCCTTCGATAAGCTTTTTATTTTTGAGGAAAAGTTATGAATATTTTTCTTCGAAATTTTCAGCAACATTCGGTAAAATTGCGAAAAAAAACTACGCTGGAAAAAAAAACCACATTGGATCTAGAGTCCAGACTCTTGAAAACATTGACAAGAAAAAATACTCTTGATTCAATCAGATTTAAGCTTGAATCAAAACGAAATCCGCTCAAATTAAGAGGCTTGGTCCTTGATCTAAGCAAAAATCCGATTGAATCAAGAGTATTTTTTCTTGTCGATGTTTTCAAGAGTCTGGACTCTAGATCCAATGTGGTTTGTTCCCCAGTGTATCTGAAAAATCGGAATGAAAATATTTTAAAATCGTCCCGAAAATTCGTGATTTACCAGATTAAATTTGAAAACGCCTGAAGGTTCATACGGCGTTTTTCCTTAGCTCGACAGAATGGTTCAATGCTGATAATATTGCCACCACCCCTTCCTTTGTTGGCGCGTTGAGCTTGAGTCAAATCCATAACTCGAAGCTTTCAGCTGAGACTGAGCTGGAGATCTCAAAGTCAAAGAACTTTCGAGAAGCGATTTTTTTTATCGGTTCCAAGTTGACTGTCTAATTGTCCCTTCTTCCTCTTTGGCCATCAATCGTCTTAAAGCGCCCCGCCTCCCGTCGCAATTAAGCCCCTGGCGAGAGTGAAGAGGGCGGAAAGACGAGAGGAGGACAGACAGAGGGGAGCAGAAAGGGAGAGAGAAAGAAAGCAGAAGGCACGAGGCAGGTGAGATAGAGGAGCATTTTAATTATTTCTTTCAACTCCCGTCAAAGGTTCAGTGACGTATTGACCCTTGTCAGAGATTAATGGAATATATTTTTTATTGGCAGAGTCAGCAGAAAACCAACTCGCTGGCAGCCGAGGGGTAGCGCAATCACACAGCTGCCAAACCGTACCGTATAATCCAATACTTTTCCGCGGAAGTTATGAGTCTAAGTTGTGATTTTTTCTGTAGAAATCTGCTCAGAGGGTTGATTGTTGAACTTGGTAGACAAATCGATAGACGAAGAAGACATCGGGAGTATGGAGCGATCTTATAGAGCGAAATGGGTGGTTCTTATGGACTTAGGGGGTGAATAATGGAGTAACTATGGGGTTGCTGGTAGGTTGCCGTCAGTTTGTGCTTTGTCCATTACAACCACCTGCTTCCACCAATAGGATCCCTCTATATCCCCTTTGTCTACTTTGTCTATCAATTTCAACAACACCGAAAAAAAAGTCAAGTTGATTTAACATTCTGGATGTAAGAAAAGAGTGCGAGAACTTATAAAATACTGAATTACCAGCCACGGCAGTTAGTTTTACATCTTGGCATTGCTAAAGTAACTGCTGTAGCGGGTATAATTCAGTATTTTATAAGTTCTCGCACACTTTTTTTTACATCCGGAATGTTGAATCAACTTCCCTTTTTTTCGGTGAATCAAGCCGGTGTAGAGGGCCCTAGTAAAAATTGGCAGTAGAATCTGTGTTCCAAAATACCATAGACCTAAAGCCGGCCGTAAGATTTTCAATAGCTTTTATAGCCGGCTGCACAATTTCTTATAGCCTTTTATAGCCGATGGCGACTAAGCAACAGCCAGGCGATAAAGTGTATGCTAAATGTTACTAATTACGGATGCTAGGACTTAGTGAATTTTTGGACTACCGCTCTATTTTTGGGCCGTAGTATCTTGATTTATTTTGCGCAGAAAGCTGCGTACTTTTGAAGGATACCTGCCATTCCTAATATGTTGGAGCGCCTTCAATTTCGTATGATACTGTGCAATACCTCTGGGCGGGCAGCCAGCGCGAAAAGCGCATTAGCGCCTACAAACCTAACAGGGATATGCGTGATATGCTGCAGGGATATGCTAGGCAATGCGTGAAGTATCCCTGTTAGGTTTGTAGGCGCTAGTACGCGCTTATCGCTGGCAGTACAAGGTATGCTACTTGTATTGTCCGATGTGATTTGCTACGGATCAGCCAGTAACTCAAAGTGTATGTCATAACTCTCCTGCGGGCTGATTATTGAATCTTATCGAATTTCTTAAAATTTTCAATGGAATTCGCCCAAGCGTTCTCTAGTAAAGAATAAATTCCCCAGATAAAGTTGGTCATAGCTGATGAGACTTGGTTCCTTTCTGCTGAACGCGGTCGAGTAAGCCCATCATTTCTCCCATAGTCTATCTTCTATGACAACCGGCCATTTCAACCAATGGAAGCGCTCCATCTCCCCGTCGTATTCTTTATCTATAACTTTGTCGATCAACTTCAACGATCAGCCCCAGGTGAAATTCGCCGCAAACAGTGACAGAGAGCACTAGCACTTTATTGGTGTTGTCAATTCGTTTTAACACTGCGTTATTATAAACCAGATCGGAGGGAAATTCGGCAGCGATGTAACACATTTTGGTGGGAAATACTGACGAATAGCTGAAATTTTAATTGAATTTTGTGCGCTGAGAATGAGAGGAGAGAGAATCATTCCCACTCACTTTGAAATTTAGTTGATCATTTAAAAGATTAAATTGATTAATTACTTGATTTTAATTTGACGAGTTATCGTTGTCGGTCGAGCTCCAACGTCTGATTTTAGATTTTAAACGGTTGAAAGACATTTATTCTCTGCGTTGCTTTTATTCAAAAAGATATTCTCACCCTGGCATCTCGTCAGAGGAACAACCTGTTCCTCCAAACAGTAGGCACTTATTTTTCCCAGGTTCGCTGTCCTCTCTTAGTGAGGCAGGGAAACAATCCGATTTACATTCAAAAATTATACTGACTTTTTTGTCAGCATGATTGCGTCCACAATTATGTATCCTAAGGATCGCTTAAATGAATATCCCGAGATGGCATGAAATGTAGGGAAGATATGAGACATTGTATATTTTTGACATTTGATATTTTTTAAACATATTTTTCAGGGGCTAGATATGCAACCCGCACTTAAATGCAATAAACTTTCATTTTTAGCACCTAATTTCTCAATTATAAATAACTTATACATTTCATAAGTTTCTGATATTTCCGTAAATATCTCACAAGCAAAGGTATGTAGGGTAGGATTTTTGACTTACGTGTATTTAATTTTTTAAGCCGAGGCTTGTCGACATTTTTCGACGCTTTTAGTCGTGTGTAGCAGTGGTAGCACTTCAGCTACCCACTACTCTACATAATCATATTGCTACTACCAATTAGATCGTTTCATGATTTTAAATTTCATGAAATTTCGCCGCCCTGCTTCCTCCACGATATTCACCCTTAAAGTTTCAATTTTAGCAATTACTTTATTCATATTTGTGCACGTGTTCAGAAATTTCATAATTTTAAATTTCATAAAATATTGCCACCCTAGTTCCTCCATGATATCACGATATTCACCCTTGAAGTTTCAATTTTAGTAATCATTCATTGCATAATTTTGCACTTTAAAAGACTAAACACTTGTCCACCCCCCCACCCCCCGGATACACTATTTTTTTTCTTAGTAGGACAGTAATTCAAGCCGACATCCACGCGAACGTATAATTAAATGATAGCGTTCACGTTGCGGCCGTTGCCAAATTTCCGATGCAACCGGGCACCATCCCTGCAAAATCGATCGTTCTCAACACAAGTTCGACAAGGGCGCATCAGGGACATGTCGTTACCGATCGGGAGCTCTGAGTCTTGTGAATCCCTCTGCAAATCAACACTCGATATCCCTGTCGCCACCGCATAGGTTTCCTCGCCACTCGCGGCGAGGCGACCAGACCCTCTTCCGCTTTTCGGACCTTTCGTAAGAGCGTGGGATCCCGTCGTAAATGAACGCAACACCCGCCGTAAGTCTGGGCCCGGGCGCGACAAGTGTTACGACGGCCGAGTGAAAGTGCTTCCGGGAATCTTCGAGGAGTTAGTGACTCCCGAAGTGTTCTGTACGTGTTAACGCGAGTTCCAGACTGTAACGTTAGCCTTAACCTGAAGTGACTTTATTGGAAAGTATGGGCATGTGTGCTGCCCTGCTGAGATTAGCACAGTGCCGATGAAGAATCTGATAAAAATAGAGCAGGAAGATTCTTGTTAATATGTGACGTCGACACTAATTGACAGTCAGTTAATGTTAAGTGTCGTGGAGTTGGTGTGTTAATTTATAGTTAAAAACATGACACTGGGACATTTAGATTAATTGGACTACATTTCGCAACGAGAAACTACTATTTCTAACTCATTTTAGAAATAACGTATATGCCATTCATCCCCTTACAGAGAAGCGGTGTGGGTGAACCAGAGATAATTGTTCCTTATTGTAAAATGTAGTCCAATTAATGTTGATTTTACACATTAACACTCGTCAGTGTTAGATTTTTTTTTTTTAATTTTAGGCCTTAAGAGAAAATTGACTTTAACACTGCTTCGCGGCTTTTTACAAACTAGGTTAATGTTAATAATCGTTTTTGGCAAGCTGATACCTATTCCAATTTTGCTTACATGTGTGTTCCTCTAAACGAATACAGTGAGATTTCGAAATAAAAGAACTGTAAATGCGTAATTTGTTTGATAAACCGTGTTCTCTCTCTCCCCCAGCAGGGCAGTTCGATTGTCCAAAAATCCACCGGACTTTCAGCTATGCCTCTGTGAATAACTTAGGGCAGCCAGTTCATGTGTTTGAATGACCTTCTCTCATTGCCAGTTTTTTCATGTTACTTTTACATTCAAGAATATTCTTGAGAATGTAGAACATTTTCCAGAACAAACGAACTCATATTCGCATTTCTTTCCAAGGTGTTCTTGAATTAACTTTGAAAAGGTTGGTTAGTTTTTTGGCCCTCAGGCTTCTATTAAAGACACGTCCATACTCTTCGAATAAAGATCTTTTAAGTGAAAGTTATCCCGCGAGTCTTCGAGAAGTTATCTACTTGACCACTCAAGTGTTCTTTACGTGACGTGAAATCGATTTTGAGACCATAAACGCTGACCTCAACTCAACCTAACATTACTCGATCGACAGTTGTTCGTTGATTGTGATAAAAAAAATCGCAACGATTCTCAATCCTTGAAAAATTAATAAACCACCAGGCAGTGTTAGGTTTCGACCACCAGCCACATCATTAAAATTTTGTGTTCATTGATTGGACAAGATAAGACTAAAGTGAAATCGAGTTTTATTATCTGTCGGCTCTGTTGGCCAAAGTCTGTATCCGGGCTACGATAAGTCTGGTGAAATTGACAACTAGCTAAATCCACCTTGATTTTGATTTGCCGATAACGAGGGAATAGACATATGATATGATGTGTGGTTCTTAACCCTGTCAAGCAATCCATCGTCTCATTAATGTTTGCTGAGTTTACACGTCAAATTCAATATACTAATTAAGGAAATATACGTTACAAGGACTAAAAGTCTGACTTTGTTCGCTCGAAACTACGTAAATTTTATAGTAAACTTCTCTTATTTTCTAACTTCTGAAGCACTAACTTTGAGGTCTCTGTGTCAGCATGATTGCGACTCATCATGGTGGAAAAATTTCGTCAGATTAAATGTGCTCCTGTTGCCCTTCAAAAAGGTAAACACAAACTCATGCTTACTTATTCACCCCTTCATAAATTATTTCGTTGTAGACACTTTCTGGGAGAGTTGTCTTGCGCCTTGGACTGTATCAAAGGGTCGTTAGGTAGCGTTTCAGCCACTCTTCATGCAATATGATTTTCATCGAGGAAACCAAATAGTCCTTCCTCATGGTGACGATTTTGGATTTATTACTTCAAAAAAATGGGTAAAAATTGTCCCATATTCTGTAACCAAGAAAATTCAGTCTGTTATGACAATTAAAACACTGAATACTCAGCATAATTTTTTTAGGTTGGTAAAACGTCCCAGTACATATCAAATATTTCCGGAAAAGTTTGGACGTATATTTTCCTCCCAATTTTTTACAGAAGTTTAAACGTAATTGTATTAAAGTGTGTGATAATTTCAAGGAAGTATATTGAACAATTTTCTCAAAATGAAATCTTATCCCTGAGAAATTGTGGCGACCTTCGAATTTTCATACGGCGCTTTTCCTTGGCACGGCAGCCATGGAGTTATTATGGTGGTACGGGGCTTGGATCAGTTGGATCACTCTGTATATGTCGCAGGCAAATAGTGAAATCAGGCATTTTGTCAAATGCGCAGACAGATAGTTAAATTTTGACGGTCTACAACATTTTGTGAATTTATGACAAGGAGCTCACAAGTTTTTAATATTTTTCTCATCAAATCTACGAACTCTTTTTGTCTCTTCCTCTTCCATTGCTTCTCATATTTTCAAATGTGAAAATTCTAAAACTTCTGTATTTTATGACATGCTGTAAATTTCAAGATAAGTGTCTGCTCAAGAGCTAAAAATTGTTTAAAATACTATTGTGTGCTGCAAATTTCCACTGAGAATGTTTTTTAAAAGAGCAATTAATTATTTTGTCTAAAATTAGGAAAAGAATCAGAATTTCAATCTAAGTTAAAATATTTGACTATTTGCCTAGGCATTTGACAAAATGCCTGATCTTACTATTTGCCTGCGACATATATATGACCCGGAAATATGGTTACAAGAACCAGTGTTATTTTGGTTCACTGCCGAAGAGGACGACCTACATTGAGGACGGTAGCATGGTTCATGGGAGCAAGTATTTCTTTCTGGGTGTACTCTGGAGCATGGAGCGGATGAAACCTTTGTCGGCGGATGAATATTGGAGAAGCGGGAGTGGATCCTTGGTGGAGATGGTAGTGGTGGCGGGTATCTAAATGCGTGGGAGTGAGGCGGGTTCAGCCCGCTCGTTGGGAAACCATAGAATATCCTCTGACGCTCTCACCATCATTATCCGACGCCCAATCCCTTCTCTCATGCGCCCGCTTCCCCCAAAGCCTGCCAAATCTTATCGTCAAATCCACGAATTTTTTTTTAGAAAGAGTTCAAGGAAAACCCACTTTTTTAAAAATAAAATTCTGATCGTCCATAAAATTAAAATTATTAATTACTCAAATTTTGCCATTAATTTCCACCAATGCAGAGGGTATTTCTTTATCTCGCCCTTGCGGGTCGAGGAAGCTGTTTCATGTAAAGAAGAAAGTAAAAAAAAAAATTGTATCATTTCTACGCATTTCAAGGTACACTGAGTAAAAAAAATCCTTACTGAAAAAAATGTGTGTATCTCAGTCCAGTATCCCTAATTTCTGTGTGCAGCCATATCTGAAAATCCATTTGTTCGATATCATTCAAACGTGGTGCGAAGGACCACATGTATGGTCCGTTCATGCACGTCTAGTGACATAGGTTTGCGCAAAGATTTTTAATCATTACTGTTGCTCAAAACGATGTATAAGATTTATGATTTTGAATTCAAATCCATTAAAAATAAAATCATGGCCAATATCTTCTGACGATTATTTGCAATAATTTTAGTTTCAATAAGAAATTAGTCGGAATAAAAATATCTTTAAAAATGAGTCCATTGCCTTAATTGATATATTTAGATAGAATCATTTATTTGAAATATTTAGTTTGCTAATTTAAAGGTAAAATGATACATAAATAGCTAGAATCTTTTGATAGAAAATATTCATGAAGAAAATGAATGAACAAGACTATAAATGTAAACATGTTTAAGATGTTTTGGAATGGTCGCAACAAACAGGTTTAGGTTTTATGGTGACGATCAGTCAGGACGAAAATGAATCACGAATTAAGAAACGCCAAAAATGTAGATTATTCAACCAAATCTTTATCTATTAGATGAAATTAATTGAATTTTTAACCGTAAATGTTGGTACAAGGTCGTACAATGGTACAAGCTCAGATTGATTTGTTCAAAAATTTACGTTCCAACAACGCGTTCCGCTGAGCCTACTTTCTTCTAATTCTTCTCAAGCATGGACGATTTGGTTTTTTGTGACATTGCGGAAATTCATTCAATTTTATACTATATTTTTGGATGGATTACTACTGTTTCCGGCTCATTTTAGAAACAACATATGTGTCACTGGTTTTTTATGCAGTTATGGGTTTTTACGGATGAGCCAGAAATAGTAGTCCTTATTACAAAGTTTAGTCCTATTAGTCTGTTTATACAACTTATTTTCAATACCTTCGTTTTTGAAATCTTCAATAAAATACTTTTTTTTTCATTTTTTGCTATGATTTGCGAGTCGAGATTATGCTCGGTTTGGCAACGTGGCTTGTCATCGAGGTGCGCTCTACGAATTAGAGGATGAAATGCACACAGAGACAGAGAAGAGAAATCACAGAGCACGCAAAACCTCTGTTCCGGCCTCTAATCCTGCAATCCCACTGGTCAAACCGCCGCCGGCTCAGCCCTGCTCGAGTTCTCCTACTCCCGCGAATACATCTTTGGCAATTCTAACAAGTTGGCAACATCGCCTTTGTCCATTTAAATGCATGTTAAACACTCGATATCCATCGAAAAAGGCTACTTTACGTACAATCGATTTTTCCCAATGGAGTTAGATGGAGGGAAATCGGAAATGAAAACTTGTAAGGATTGTTGCCGGCTCATGCCTTCCCAAGTTCTGTGCATGCATCAATTGAATCAGTGAGTTCAAAAACACACCAACTCGGGTGTTTTTCGATTTTCACTTTTTTACAGTTTCCTAACAATTATGGATAGAAGTATCTGCACGCAAAAGGAAATTTTGAAATTGCAATCGGAAGTGCTTGAAACAGCGACGGTAAAAGGGAAAAATCGAAGTATTTCATTGGAAATACCAATTTTTGGCCATTTCAAGGGAAACGGGTGACCATCCGATTTTGCGGTTTTCTTTTTTCGGTTCAGTATACCTTGTACCAACAAGTTTTATATAGATATTCAAGCGTTATTCAGGTCGAAAAATATAAATTTTTCAGGGCAGATAATGAAGCATTAGTATCTGAAAGTCGGTGAGAACGAAAACATACCAACTCGGAAATTTTTAAACGCTTAATTCTCTGTCATCAAGCATGATGTATCGATTTCAACTTGGTGCTTTACAATGTCTAGAAGTAATTGTCCTTTGGCACCAAAAAGGTTTTTCTTAAACTAACTTCTTCGCCCGCTGCCCAGTTTTAGGTGTTTCCTGAACAATTTTTTTCCCCGAGTTGGTGTGTTTTCGAACTCATACTGATTCAATTGCATTAGAAAAAAATAAAATAAAAAATAAAATCGATAATAAGGAGAAGACACCACAATGATGAACCGGATTGGAAATATTACTTTATTAATAAGGAATAATAATTTTGATATATTGAAAGTCATGAATATTTTTATCAACAGAACTTTCAACTATCAATTCAACATGAATTGGTTTCAAAAAATTAGTAAATTTTCCAAAAGAGGACAGATTCCGTTTTCTTCATGATTAACAACAGAAGCGATGGCAGCACCTACCCCAGTTTCAGCTCTTGTCCACTCTTCAACTTTAGTTACGGCAGAAGTTTATCTAATGATTCGATTTGAATCAACCATAATAAGTTCAGGAATAGAGCCTCTGGTAAAAATTGGCAGTAGAATCTGTATTCCAAAATACCATAGACCTAAAGCCGGCGGTAAGATTTTCAATACCTTCTATAGCCGGCTGCACAATTTCTTATGGCCTTTTATAGCCGATGGCGATTCAGCAACATCCAGGCGATAAAGTGTATGCTAAATGTTACTAATTTACGGATGCTAGGACTTAGTGAGTTTTTGGACTACCGCTCTATTTTTGGGCCGTAGTATCTTGATTTATTTTGCGCGGAAAGCTCCATAGTTTTGAAGGATGCCTGCCATTCCTAATATGTTGGAGTGCCTTCAATTTCGTATGATACAGTGCAATACCTCTGGTGTGAAATAGTTGCTTCAAGCGCCGTGGCACGCTGCGGCGCGGCGGGCGGGCAGCCAGCGCGAAAAACGCCTTAGCGCCTACAAACCTAACAGGGATACTTCACGTATTGCGCCATGCGTGAAGTATCCCTGTTAGATTTGTAGGCGCTGGTGCGCGCTTATCGCATGCAGCACACCGCTCCGCTCTGTGTTAGGCTCCAATATAATCTTGCGGAGTCAGCGTTTTTCAACTCATGATTTTGAAATGTTTGCACATCCTGTATGGATTATTCTCAGTTAAATTGATGAAAAAAAATATGTATTAAAGGAAATATGATGTGTGTTTTGTGAATATTATGGTGGTTCCGTATCACACTTAAAGATTTCCAAAGCACACAAATTTCTACACCATTTCTTATAGCCTTTTATAGCCGATGGCGATAAAGTGTAAAGCCCGGCGATAGGAACTATAGCCCGGCTGCATACTTTTTTATCGCTTCGTATAGCCTGGCTATACATGATGCGGCATGTATGATTTGCTTCGCATTCTACAGCCAGCTATATGATTTTCTATTGCCTTCTTTAGCCGGCTATAAGAATTCCTATGGTATTTTGAAACACAGCTCCTATCGCCAAATTTTACCAAGGGCAAATTGATCATCAGTGACGTTACGTTAGGTTAGGTTTTACAATTTGGCAACACTGGATTTCACCCATCATCATTCATTTA